CCCCCCCCTAAATTTTACGCCACTGGAAAAATTGACTTTTAACAGCAAATTCTAAAGCGCCAATGAATTTTACACAATAAGAGTTCTCTTGGTTCAGTGCTCTAAAGTCAACCGTTTTCAAGAAAAATGACTTTATGAACAAAATATATATATATTGTATCTTATCAGGGAAATATTATTAAAATTTTAAGTTATTATTAACAAGATGAGGGAATTACCTGCTAGGGAATTCCCCTAGCAGGTAAGACCGTCAAGAAATTGTTCTTATCTAATTCCAATATAATGATTCCCACTGCAAAAAATGACTGCGCAAGATACCGTTGGACTGGAGTATAATTACTGGTAAATAATATAGGTACATATAATTTCATTTCTAGAAGCAGTAAAGACAGAGACGGAGAGTGTAGGTACCCTTTCTTTGGGTCCTTTACGATTTGAGTAAAGGTAGTTTCGTTATCCCATCAAGTTATTGCAAATGTTGAAAAAATCACGGTTTTCTGCCTATAAAATTGATACCTCTCACTTTAATTCGTCGTAAGTTTCTTTGTTAATTGATAAAAAAATTCAAATTTTTACTTACGATAAGTCGCACTTAGTCTTTTGTACTGTGAAGGTCATTTGTCTCAAAAGATCTTTTTTTTATTTTTAAGCAAAACAGAAGGGGGTGCTATCTCCGTAAATATTGCATTCTTTAAAAAAAGGAAAATACTGACTCAAGTAGTAAATAATTGTAAACAACAATCTGAAAAAATTTGTTAAAATAATACAGTTATAAACTATACTGTATACTCTGCATCGGACCGTGACCGTAATTGACCATTCCGATACTGTTTTTAAGAATATCATATTTATAACTGTATTATTTTAACATATTTTTTCAAATTGTTGTTTACAGTTATTTGCTACCTGTCAGTTTTTTTTTAAAGAATGCCATATTTACGGAGATAGCACTCCCTTATGTTTCACTTAAAAATAAAAAAAGAAGACCTTTTGAGACAAATGACCTTTACAGTATTAAAGGCTCGACTTATCGTTAGTAAAAATTGGATTTTTTTTATCAGTTAACAAAAAAATTACGACGAGTTAAAGTGAGAGGTACCAATAATTTTATATGCAGAAAACCGTGATTTTTTCAACATTTTCATTAATAACTAACAAATGGGATAACGAAACCAACTGAAATTTTAGCACACAATAGAGTAATAGTGAGGCTATATATGGTCCAAATTTCAAATTTTTTGCCCCAACGTTTTCTTAATATCGGTTTCCAAACTCAGAGGTTTATTTCATTTATTTCGATAGTAAGTGACTAAAAATAAGCAAAAGTTGATTGTCAAGACAATATGAAATTAAAATCGTGTTAGTTATATTTATATTCAAGAATGTATAATTTTTTTGGTCGTAACTTTTTTCATTAAATATCCAGTGGTTTCCTTCTTACCGGTAAGTAGCTTGAAGATTTGTAGATTTGTAGATTGAAGAAGAAATCTATCTGAGCCAGGCTAATTTTTAAGCTGTAAATTTATTTAAACATAAATAACGATTTTATGTGGGACACCCTGTACGTAAAATTTAATCTGTATTCTTAATAAAGAAAAATTAGTACATATTATTGGTTTTTTATGCGTTATATTTTCGTACTATTTAAGCTTTACAAAATCATTACTTAGTACTTAGTACTACTTAGTACTACTAGGTATATCAAAGATAATATTAAACCATTATGCTTTATTTTAGGACGCATTTATAATAAACCAACTCTGTGTTTTCACTTTCATTTTCAAGGGTAGCGACACCTGTGAGAGAGTGTACAAACTAATTATATCGAAAGAAATTAAAAATATCTTGTGAATAGGTAGGAAACTCGACAATTCTAGTTTAGATACATATTAAAAATGGAGTCGTGTATAAAATGTTGTCATTTCACTTGAGGACACAAATTATAGAACTATTAATAAATATTAATCTGAAAATTAAATACAAATGATCCTAGGTGTCCGTTCTAGTGAGTGAAGTAGTTTGGTTATTGTGCCTGACCTAGTTCCGTGGTAAATGCAATATATTGACAGACTAACAGTATGGTTAAAATTGAGGTACTTTGGCATTTATTTAAATTATTCTTCTGTTCTCAAGAGCATTGAAATTTATCTCACTCACTAGCGGGAACCATTGCGAATACATTGATATATAATAATATTCAATTATGTTAGTTTATTCGATGATTTGTGTCCTCATCTGAAGCTCTGTTACACGGTAAAAATATACATACTAAATCGCCCCCTTAACAGTTAACGTTAACCTTAACGTTTAACCCTGAAATAACGTAACTGTTATTATGATAAAAATGGGATACATACTCGGCCTGATTATCAGAAAAGAAAATTGAAGTTACATATTGTTAAACAAACAAGAGTAACAGCATCATTGAGGTTACTGACATGCTTCCTCATTAGTAAAGCCAATGAATTCCACATCATACCAGGCACATTTCTACTTTGTTATGGAGAATTGTAAATAGTATACTTAGTTTTTTTCTTAGTGTAGCGTGCTGCGCATGAGCGGCACACAAGGTGCTTGCACAAGCAGTGTTATTAAGCTGTGGTGCTTGGATGAGGGCTTTATGCTCGCCCTTGGTTTTCCGACCGCCTACATGGAAGCAGCGCTCGAGTAGCGCTCTTCGCCACCTGACGTTTAGTTATTTAGTATTGGTACTGGCTCGTATATTAGTACTTGTGTGTAGAGGTGTTCTAAAATCTTATGAGCTTTGACCTTCATATGCGCAGAAACATAATTACGACCGTCGCACAGTGGTCGGAAATCCGAAAAAGCTGGACAAAAGTCGAAAATAGTTTGCATCATCACCAAAAGTGGGGACTTTATGTTTTTCAGGTCACTAAAACCGAACTTGCAGTCAAAAATCTCAAATTCAAGATGGCTGATACAAAATGGCCGATATATCACGTTAATTTATTGAATCTAATTGAAATTTCGAGTGCCTCTGGTATTGAGATCGCGTAAAACGTATGTAAGGTTGGAATTTTAATTATAAATAAAGTACGAAAGGTCTGCTATAGTCATATATTTGGAATAAATTCGATTTCGAAAGAAACAATTTCGAAATACTTACTATTGAAACTTATTTTTTTTAGAAATTATTCTAATTATTTATTTTATTCTAATGAGTCATTCTCATCGTCATCATCTGTCATATAATCGTCAGAGCATGAAAACATCGCCATTTGTGGTTGAACTGCGTTATCATTAAGGTGAATATTACTCAGCAACCAAGCAAATCTATCTCTACTAATAACGGAACTAATAAAAGGATCTCTCATTTCTTCCTGAGAAGACCAGTAATCTTTGAAGCTTGGTAGTTTTTTCAAACCCATAAGGAGATTAACTTCCAAAAAGATTTTAATCTCCTTTGCAGTTGTTGGTTTGAAATGTCTTCCTTCAACATGTCTCTGAAATGCGTATAGATTGGTTTGGAATGTAATGTGGGTGATCAAATCTTCCGGAAACAAATGCAAGAATACGTCTGTCGGTGTCTCAATATCATCAGGCAAATCCGGACCAGTTGCTTCTGCGAAAGCACTTGGTTTCATAATGTTGGAAACATCGTCAGACCAGTAATCTGACAGGAATATATCAGGTCGTCTGGCGAGTGGGATATCATCATCGCTGTCCCAGTGTAAGTCGTTATTGGAAATCACGTCATTATCCTCGATAATTATGTCCATATTTTCGATGTCAAAAACTTCACCATTATTGGAAGCATCAGGCGTCGGCAATTCATCATTCATAACCTCGTCTAGATCTTCTACAAGAGATTCATTATCGCTCGGTATTTCGTCTAGAAGAACGAAAACACGACCTGGATCCATATTTTCGATATCAAACAATTTCCAGCAAGCCATATTATCTGAAATGCAAGGAATTAAATTACAAAATATACTCCACCACATTTGTTGTCAAATTTTAGGATTAAAAATAGTTTCATACAATCTATTAATATTAGGAATATTAAGGAAAAAAAAAATTTTTTTAAACTAATATATTCCTAGTGGTCACCATGGGAAACCACACAAAAATCTGCTCACGTCAAGCTGATTTAGAGAAATACAGAATATTTTTTACAACCGACAATAAATATGCATATGTTGGAACACTTACATGCTATTCTTAATGCAAAAATATAACAAAAACTATGAAAAAATTCAAAACTAATAGGTAACCTCAAACACGCTCTTAACGCTATCAGTGCAGCATCATAAATGTCGTTAAAGACGAACAAACATCGATGCAATGCGTAAGGACAATAAAATGATCTGTAGGAAAACACATTAAACACTGTGGTACAAGTACTACCAGTAGGAAAATAATAGGGTGGATATTAGTAATATGGTTTTCACTGATAACCAGTAGTCCTCAAAGGGTTAAGGTCGCTGTTCTCATTTTCAACTATCTTGAAATCTGGCACCTTTTTAGAAAAATGTCGTTCTAAAATGATTATTTGTGTTTCTAAATTGTCGTGGAATTTTCCTTTTAAAAGACGAAACATTTCTTTTTTCGTACACGTAATTTTACGAGTGCATGATCCTTTGGAAAATAATAAATTATGAATTAAAAAATTATAGATATCAATATTATAAATGGCACATGAAAAAGGTACCATGTTCATAAAAAACAATTTGAATTAGATACGCTCGTTTGAATCGCGAAGCGACGCTAAATCCCTAGCTATTGTATGACTAAGACCTTTTACACTAGTAAACCGGCCGCACACGGAGGCACAAAAAATGACTCAGAACCCTAATCTGAAAAAATTCGGGAAGTTTTCTCGTTTGATATATGAACTTGACACACCTGTACTCATTTTCCAACTTTCAATAGTGCACGATCTCTTGGGATCACAACTATTTCGATAATTTACGATTGATGTGATTTGAAATCGATAGAAATTGTAAGACGTTTTTGTTAAAACAATAAAAACATGCAACTTTCGAAAAATGAGGTTATAGATGGGCAAATGTATTCGACTTACCTCCAGGAACACCCTCCATGTTGCACACAACGATTGGTACTATAGAAAAAAATTGCCCGTATTTACAAATCACTGGTTTTCGCGAAGTCAGTTGCCAGTGAAATATTTTAATGTGCCGCAGCCTACTTCAGAGAGTTGTTGTGGTCTACACACGTGGGCCAGCTCTCTGGTCTTTTGCAGAACTACGCAGTGACTCCATCTCTAGAATATTCTGAAGTATTAACACAAACCAACGATTTTGAAATTTCGACTTTTGTCCAGCTTTTTCGGATTTCCGACCACTGTGCGTTGCCTAAATTATTCTTCGTCCTAAAAACATTATTCACAGTCTATCTCGAGCTCTCGTAGCGTAAACAAGCCTTTGATCCGATTACAAATATAATAATATATAACGAACGTTCGCCAGTTGATTTTATTGATGCCCGAGCGCCTTAGTTCATTTCTGGTTGTAATGAGGCACGTGATTTAATTCTGAGTCAATGTTTTCACAACGTGCTTATTAGAAGAATTATGAGATATTAAAACACCTCTAACTGTGATAGGATTGAATAAACGTTTAATGCCGACAGAACTTTTATTTTTATGGTAGGCTATAATCGTAACTCTTGGGAACATAAGTAAAAATATTGAAACGATTCATCACATTTGAATAAATAGAGGAGGATACCATTTTACCTTAAGTCAATTATTCTGCTTCAGGAGATGTATAACCATACTATGTAGTTGATCTATAACGAATCTATAGATAAAACAAAATATAGAATATCTCAATCATTATTAACGGCCGACATGTGGTTTATGTGAATCTCGACTACTTTTCTGAAATGAATTAATAAACTATAAAACTAAAAAAAAATGTATTTCTTCTGTAGCTGTTACAGTAAATAGTTTGAAAGTATGCATTAAAACTATCATAGATGTTTTGCATAAAATTCAGTGGTAAACTTAGTTTTTTTTTAAACAGAAATCGTCATTAGCTATATAGAATAAATAGCATTTTTACAGTTTCCAAAACTGTATCGCTATCTTTTATGCAGGGTGTTTGGTAAGTCGATGCATTCCTTGCAGGAGGTTATGGTACAAACGATTTGTGATATAGGTATTTCCTTAATATACCATATTCCGAAAACGTTTAGTTTTCAATCTACAGGGTGTTAATGTTTTAATTTAAAAATGCAAATTTATAAGTATTGCGGAAACCGCTCAGAATATTTTAATGATATTTTACAGGCTTTGACAGTTAACAATACATGTTTTACGATAAAAATACATATTGTTTTCAGTTTCACCAGTGGCGTGTGCACAGGCATGTCTAGATATTGTTAAAGAAAAAAATTATACGCCACTGATTTTTCTTAAAATAAAAATTATTTTTGAATTCCTTTGGAAATTTGGAAGTGAAAAGGTATATCGACTGTTTTTCTTATGACGCACTGTTTTCTAGTAGAAAAAATAAGATCGATTTATTGCGTGGCGTAATTCGGTTTCAATAATTTGAAAAATAGCAGAAATTATGTACTTAACTGCTTCACACTCAAATACTAAAAGTGCCAGCTATTATTAATTTTGTCAAACAATAACAAAAACGAGTGCACAGTCAACTTGCTAATTTGTGTTTAGATTAGTGAATAATGAATCTAAAATGTTAATTGCGAGGAATAATTTTTTGTAATAAAATCGGTACAAAAAAAAGCTGAATGCATAATTTCTGCTATTTTTCAAATAATTGAAACCGGATTACGCCATGCAATAAATCGATTTTATTTTTTTTACTCGAAAACGGTGCGTCATAAGAAAAACTGTCGAGATACCTTTTCTCTTCTAAATTGAACAAGGAATTGAAAATTAATTTTTATTTTAAGAAAAATCAGTGGTGGATCATTTTTTTCTTTAAAAATATCCAAAGGCGTGCCTGTGCGCACGCCACTGGTGAATCTAAAAACAATATTTTTATCGTAAAACATGTATTGTTGTTAATTGCCAAAGCTTGTAAAATTTCATTAAAATATCCTGAGCGGTTTCCGCAATACTTATAAATTTGCATTTTTTAATTAAACCTTTATCACCCTGTAGATCAGAAACTAAGCGTTTTCGGAATATGGTATATTAAGGAAATATAACACAAATCATTTGCACCATAACTCCTGCAAGGAATGCATCGACTTACCAAATACTGTCTGCAAATAGTTTTTTTAACACGAAAAACATTTTTTTTTTTGACAAAAATAAGATGGTCATAGTTAAAAATGCACTAAAAAAAAATAAACCAAGGAGTTCATAAAACCCATAATGTTGAAAATCCCAAACTCACAAAAGGTTTGAATATGGTTGACCTATAGAAGTGTCATCAGCAAAAGTATAATAAATAGACACGTACTATCTGTAATCAGCATGTTTGTGCTACCGCCCCCATACGTCTGTAGTCGTGTAGCAGTTAAGGAAGAGAAAGACGGGCTGAATGATAAAATAACCTCCGGATAATAATTTGGTGCTGGCGCCAAGGACTTTGCCGTTAGCTCAGTCAGCGATTGGGGGTGGAACGCCCGTCTCGGTCCCTGGGTATGAACCACCGAGGTTATGATATTACCTACTAAGGGAGACAGGGCAACCGAACAAAGAAATAAAGTGATAAGCTAAACAACAGAATTTAATAAGCAAGTGTATAAGTGTACAGAGTGACATCAACGATTCTACCCGGTATATTGGTCGCGGTCCGGTCTGTTTGTGAAAAGTGGGCCACAGTGGTCGGTCAGGCCGGTAAAAAGGTCAACTACACTACATTGACAGCTCACGAGCCCAAAATGGGGTTATATACTAATAAACAACCTCATAGTAATAAATAAAGGGGAGACCGCATTCCCTATTTCAGTGCACAGTGTAAACATGTAACCTCAACCTATTGTATGTTGATAAACAAATGATATATAAGTAAANCATGGGTCAACGAGGAATATACTGTAACAAAAGTATGGCAAGATAAAAATGTAAAAAGTTTTCGACAAGCATTTTTTGATGGGCTTTCAACAGGGTTCAAGGCACCTTCAGGTAAAGGGCGAATATTAATAGTGACACATGTAGGTAGTGCCAGTGGTTTACTTTCATTTGAATCTAAAAACACAGGTGACTACCACGAAGACATGAACGTAGATGTTTTCGAAGAGTATTTTACACAGACGTTAGATCTTATTCCTCCGGGGTCTGTAATGTAGTACATCGTACCGCCACACAACAACCATCATTATTAGATTTGTACTGCTACGAGACCCTTCCAAGATCTTAAGATGCCTAAATTCAAAACATATACAGCAAACGTGATGGAGGCAATAATATGTGGTGTCTGCGGTAAAACACTTAGGCAACGACTACAAACCAATAATGATTGGACTCCGAAAACAATCATCCTCACGTGTCCCGTATGTCTACAACCGGGACCCTGCAAAAAAAGATAAAAGTTTCTTGGATATAAACTATGATGTACGTTCTAGACTGAATAATTTTCTAGTACTATCTCTCTAAATTCAAACAGATGTTTAATAAATATATTTTTACAGCCTCGTTTTGAACGTCCCATTCCGAGTGGATCGTGGATCAGGGTTAAGGAAGATCAAAGAAGAAATCGTTACTAATAAAATGGAAACGTGTAATAGGCTATATCAAAGCTAACCATGCAACGAGTAGGATTGGTTGGCGATGATGAGACATTTTAATACTGCTGAAATGGAAGACTCTGTAACCAGGGACCACTAGAATTGGATCAAGCGGGAAACATGGCACGACATCCAAAAGAATAAATTTTATAATAATTTAAACAATATAAATTTAAAAAGAAAATTGTAATTTAAATTCATCTACAATCAAATTTATTATTGAAAT